ACTACAACCAGTTATGGCCAAGGAATTTAAGGAGACATGCAGGTACTAATTCCAAAAGCTTGCCCCATCAACTTCACTCTACCATTTTTGGGGGGAGGCTCAGAGGGCAACACGGCCAGCAAAAAAAAAAAAAAAAAAAAAAAAAAAAAAAGTGCCATCTTACGTTAAATGGTAGCTAACAATTCCCAGAGTGCTGTAAGAACAGTGCAAGGCTCGGGCCCCTAACTCACCACCCAGTTCTCACAGAGCAGCAAGAATTAGCTGCCTCAAATACCACTCTGCACATCTTTCCCAGGTTCTAGAACCTATAGTGGCTCCCCAGTGAGCTGAATCCTCTTTGTATACAGAGCACACTGTCTGTGGGATCTCAATGCATCTTTGTTGACTGATAAACTGAAATTCCAACTCTCCAGCATAAATCAAGTCGGTCGGCCCATCAGTTCACCTCCCTATTTTCCACATCCCTCATCAAGGCCACTCTTATAGTCATCCATTCCCATCTTCAAGCCAACACCCCCAAACTGCTTTCACCAACAAGCATCTGGTCTCTTCAAAACTCTGCTCTCAGGGCACCTGGGTGGCTCAGTGGGTTGAGTGGCCGACTCTTGATATCAGGTCAGATCATGGTCTCAGGGTCCTGGGATCAAGCCCTGCTTCGGGCTCCATGCTCAGTGGGGAGTCTACTTGGGATTCTCTGTCTCCCTCTCCCTCTGCCCCCCACCCTATGCTCTCTCTCTCTCTCTCTCTCTCAAATGAACACATAAATTTTCAGAACAAAACATATCAACAACCACAAAAGCCTCTGCCCTCTAAAGTAGATGTGTGGCTGCCTACGGCCGGGGAGAGGAATAGGAGCACTGAGGGTGGTATATAAAGGGTATGGGTTTCCTTTTGGGGTCACAATGCTCTAAAATTGACTGTGATGAAGGTTGTGCATATTTGGGAACATACTAAAAACCACTGAATTGTATACTTTAAAAATGAGTGAATGGTATGGTACGTAAATTATACCTCAATAAAGCTGTGACGGGGAAAAAAAACCTCAGCTCTGAACTCATCTCCTCCAGGAAATTCTCCCTGACTTATGAATAAAGATAATTTCATTCCCAACAGCAGAGAAAAAAAGAATCATTCTTCCACTCATTTTTAATTTATTCACCAACAAAACACTATTTTTTTAAAGATTTTGTTTATTTATTTGACAGAGAGAGACACAGCGAGAGAGGGAACACAAGCAGGGGGAGTGGGAGAGGGAGAAGCAGGCTTCCCGCAGAGCAGGGAGCCCGATGCGGGGCTCGATCCCAGGACCCTGGGACCATGACCTGAGCCGAAGGCAGATGATGCTTAACGACTGAGCCACCCCGGTGCCCCAACAAACACGTATTGATCACCATAAAAGGCCAAGTACGGTGCTAGAAAGTGAGGATGCAAAGATGAACCAGACAAAACTGGGCGTGGATTATTTCACTACTGTACCCCAAGGTCCTTGGTTCCCCAAACCACACTAACTTGACCCTTTCTCCACTTCTTTCTTCCTAGGGTTAAAGGAGGGGAAAAAAGGGGTCTCCCGATCCTCTTTCTGTGTTTAACGTGTGCAGCTAAAATCCACAGCCCCTTGCCTTCTACCGCATCGGACTCCACTGCAGCCTGAAAGGTGCTTCTCTCGCCTGTGGAGAGGGACGAAGGTGAAGAGAACGGCTAGCACACTGGGCCTGGTGTGCTAACCCCCCCTGGCTAAGCCAGGCCAGAGCAGAGCCATTTCCCAATCCCATCAGGTGTGAGGAGTGCCAGGCGCTGTTCCAGGACACTTGAGTGCGTAAGCTCATACTCTCAAGCGCACATCCACTCCATGCAAATACTCACAGAAAACTGACAATAATCCTTCACCCTGACACAGCACTTTCATGTGTGGGAAACATTTTCACGAGTATTACTCCTGAGACACATTTCCCCCGCCACGGATGGAGAAGGTGAGACACACAGAGAGGTGAACGAAGTGGGGTATCCAAGGTCCCATACCTACTAAATGACAGAACTGAAATTTAAACTGAAATCTCCTGGGAGCACCTGGGCGGCTCAATTGGTTAAGAGTCTGCCTCCGGCTCGGGTCATGATCCCGGGGTCCTGGGATGGAGCCCCCGCATGGGGGAGGGGGGTCCCTGCTCAGTGGGGAGCCTGCTTCTCTCTCTCCCAGACCCTCTTCCCCACTCATGCTCTCTCACTCTTTCTTGGATAAGATCTTTAAAAATTAAAAAAATAAAAATAAACCAAAATCTCCTGGCTTCAAGTCCAATATTCTTTCTGCTCTACTGTCCTCAAAAGCCAACTCTTTCTCAGGGTAGTTTGCTGGGCATCCACAAGCTTCTACTCACTTGATTGCTTCTTCTCTCTCCAAGAAGCCTTCCATTTCTAAGACCTACACGTGATGGGGTTTTGTCTTTGCCAAGATCCAGAGAGATTCCAACAGGAGACAGTGTAACAGCGGTTAAGAGTAGAGATCTGAGTCAGACCAATTTGGGTTTGAATTCAGAGTCTGCCTTCATTCCACACATACACGTATATTCTTCTAATCCAGCAAGCCATCATTTAAAAGACCTGCCTTCATCTATACCTACAAGGTGAAAATCCTTCCTGATTTTAAGAATATTGAAGATTCCACGGCACCTTTAGACAACTCTCAAAACCAAGAAAGCTTTCCTTAATTCCAACCAAATCCACCTCCATCCTCACCCAATGCAACTCTTTTCCCCATATTTTGTCCTCCACATGCATGGCAAATCCCAAAACCAAAACAGGGTCTCTATTAGGGTTTCTCACATTTGAAGGGAGGGTCTCTATTAGGGTCTCTCACATTTGAGGGGAAAGCTGACAAACTGTGATGAACTATTTTTTTTTAAGATTTTATTTATTTATTTGAGAGAGAGAGAATGAGAGATAGAGAGCACGAGAGGGAAGAGGGTCAGAGGGAGAAGCAGACTCCCTACTGAGCAGGGAGCCCCGATGTGGGACTCGATCCCGGGACTCCAGGATCATGACCTGAGCTGAAGGCAGTCGCTTAATCAACTGAGCCACCCAGGCGCCCCCAAATTCTTTTTTTTTAATTTTATTTATTTGAGAGAGAGAGAATGAGAGACAGAGAGCATGAGAGGGGAGAGGGTCAGAGGGAGAAGCAGACTCCCCGCTGAGCAGGGAGCCCGATGTGGGACTCGATCCCGGGACTCCAGGATCATGACCTGAGCCGAAGGCAGTCGCTTAACCAACTGAGCCACCCAGGCGCCCTGATGAACTATTTTCATTCAAGATTAGCTCCTGGCTGGCTCAGTTGGTAGAGTGGGGTTGTGACTTCAATAGAGATTACTTAAAAAAAAAAAAGGAGGAGGAGGAGGAGGAAGAACATTAGCCCCCACCAAGCTTGCCCCCCTTCCCTCTACTCTGTGGAAAAGGCAGCAGGACGAGGTACCAGAGAGAAAGAATTGTTATCCTCAGGTCCACAAAAAGCTCTTTTAGGATAACCATTTCCAGTCCACAGAAAAGAGATCCTGGAAAGCTTAGCATAACCCCACTGATTCTTCAGTGTCCCCTCAAAGACACAAGGTTCTCCCTACTTCTTTCTTCCTCTAAATTTTTTTTTATTTTTTTTTTTTAGTAAAGCTCGAACCCTTGACCCCGAAGAGATCAAGAGCGACAGGCTCTTCCAAATGAGCTAGCCTGGTGCCACCACCCTGCTTCTTTTGCCTTTGTCCATATTGCTCCCCTTTCCTGATCTCATGCCCCTGACCTCACACTTTTCCTGTTTTCTACCCCCCGTCTGTATCTGTCACAGTTTGAGCCTCTCCCTTCCAGAAATCGTTGTCTTCCCATGGTTCCACCTCCTCCATAGGAGTGAAACTCACGTCTTAATTGCTTGTACAAGTCTCCGCCCACTCTCCTTCTCAAAGTTGGCATCCCCCTTTCCTACCCAGCCCTTCCTCCTCTCCCCCCAGGACCCCATCAACATCAGCTGGTACCAGACTGAGTTCAGGAGAACATTCAATAAATACTTGTTGAACTGAAGTGAATGAAACTGAAGAGCCTGGGAGGAGGAGTCCTGGGGAAGGTGGCCAATCCTTTAGCTGTCCTACACCAGGCAACAAACCTCTGTTAAGACAGGACCCTAGCGTCTAAAAGTAAATGAGCAGAGTCCATGGTATCAAAGAGCCAGTGAGGATCCCTCTCCCCGCCAACCAGGCGGTGGGCTTGCCTCCAACACACCTCCTAGCAAAGGCTCTATGGAGCTGCCCTATGGTTCTCTACACTGAGCGACAGGACAAAGCGAACTTCTCCCACTACTCAGATGCCACACTAACCCAGGCAAAAAAGTAGCCGGCACAAACCAGAGTAGGGCAGAGCAGCTCTAGATGTCTGAAGACTCTTGTAGTAGGAAATATGAATCACTCAGCATGCAAACTTCAGCACATCCTCTACACACGTGGGCTAGGAAAAGCAAGCTGGTGTGGCCAAAATAACATAAAAATTGAAATGGAATTCAGCAATATGAGCCTAAGTGGAGGCGCCCCTTAACCTCTCTCACCTTCTGTTACCTCCATGTCTTAAGTGGGAATAACAGCAGTACCTAACTCAAGAGTTTTCGCGATTCGTGGTGCTCACTGCAATGACCTGCACATGATAAGGACTCAACAGATATTAGCTGCCATGGTTTTACTTTACATTTTGCCATGAGGATGGAATGAGATGGAACGCGGCGGGAAGCCCCACGCAGGTGTGTGACACAGGAGAAAGTCGCAGGCCCCCCGGCCCCGGCTTGGGGAAGAGGGCGACACGCGTGGAAGCCGAAGTACCCCCGGCCCTCGAGCGGGGCGCAGAGGTGCCCGAAGCCCACTCTGGCGAGGGCCCCCTCCCCCCCCCCCCCGCTTTCCTCCCCGAAGTCTCGGCCAGGACGCCCCCGGGGAGGGCAGGAGAGGGGAAGGGGAAGCAGGCAGGGGGGCGGCGCAGGGACGTACCTGCTTTCACTGCACTCCTTCCGCTCCCTCACCCTGAGCCACTTGCGGAGGAGGAAGCGCTTTCGGCGCGGAGAAGCGCTGGGTGTGGAGCAGTTGGACCACGGGGTGTCCTCGTCGCTGGAGGGCGTGATCTCGATGGACGGCAGCTGCAGGAACTCCTTGCCCGGGGCCAGGACGCCGGGCAGGTCCCGGGTCAGCCCGGCCTCCAGGCTCTGCTCCTGCACGTTCTTCATGCGGCGCATCTTGAAGCGCCGGCGTCGGAGCGTGGGGGTCGACGAGCTGGACCAGAGCGGGCTGCCCTCGGGCGCGCCCTGGGGCTCGGGCACCTGCAGGGCGGGCGGCTGCAGGTTCTCCAGCATGTTGGCCGCCGGCATGTGGGCCCGTGGCGGCCGCGCTCCCTCGGCGCCCTCCGCCTGCCGCCTCGTTCCCCACCCCTGGCCGCGGCGCGCTCAGCCCGCTCACGTTGGGAAACGCTCGCCGCTCGAGCGGCGCGGAGGGCAAGTTCCTCTCCCGGAGCGCCGCGAGGCAGGCGCGCGCGAGGCCGCCGGGGCCGAACTTTCCGGTGCGCGCTCCCCCCGGCCGTCGGCGCCGGCCCGCCCCGGCCGCCGCACGCCGCCGCCCGGCCTCCCTCCTGGGGCTCCCGCGGCGCGCCCGCCTGTTTTTCTTCCGCGCTCTCCCCGGCCTGCTTGCGTCTTCGCCTTAGCGGGACTCGGCGGCGCGGGGCCCCAGGGGGCGGCTCGGCAAACTCTCAGCGGCTCGAGATCGGCCGACCGGGCTGGGGAGCCGGCGTGGCGCTGCAGGGAGGCGGAGAGCGGGAGGGAGATCGGGGGGAGAGAGAAAGAGAGAGGAAGCGAGACACTGGATAAAAACAAAAAAGGAGGAGGGAAGAGCTAAGAGGGAGGGGAGGGGAGGTCATTTCTGTCCAGAAAGGGCATGCACAGGCAGCGACAGCCAGGGTCACTGTACGCGAAATCCCTCGGGGAGGAGGGACTCTACCTCCGAGTAAAGGCTGCTCCAATCAGCCTAATGAAACAGGATCACAAACCAAACTTTGTCAAAGCAACGATTGGCCAGGCAGCTCTCATTAACCTCACGCCCAGCTTTTTCTTTGGGGGAAGGTGGGGGAGGGAGGAAAGGGGAACGGAGGAATCAGGAATTCAGCCCTCACTCCCCAAGGCCACCCAAGACAGGGTTGGGGGAAAACTAGGGGGCTTTTCCGCAGAATGTCTTCTCAGAAAAGTGCTTTCTTCGAATTATTTGGGAGTGCGGGTAGGGGCACAGGAAGGCTGGGCATAGTCAGAGGGCGACTGCAAAGTTCCCGGAGGCTGCTTCCAAAATGACAAGTTCAGAGGTGAGAAAGTTCTGTGGAATAAGCTGAGGACAGCAGACATGACATACCAAGGAAGGACAGACAATAGGATCTGAGAGACATAGGACACACACAGGACCAGTAAGGAAAAGGGACTGATGATCCCTCTCCACCTTGAGTGACCCCGTCAATACCATAGCCCCATCCCAAAAACAAAATGAAGTTACTGGACAGTGAGCACCCAGAAGGCAAAGCATCCAGCAAAGCCTTCCTGGGAGTTATGTTCCTGGGTGATGACTCAATTCTGCTTCAACCTGCAAGGGGTATGGACTGGGTCACACAAATCTGGTATGTGCCCAGGTCATGGAACCTAGAAAGTGAATCAGCCCCAGCAGTGTCTGAAGGTATGCTGACCCACTCCCTCCCGAGACCCAAGGACCTACAGCCCTAAGAGCCTGGCCTGAGAACTGATCCATTTTATTGAGGCATTCTCCATTGTGACTTGAGCATAAGCCAGCCCAGCTTCTACAGCAGAGCTGTACGGTCCATTCTCCTCCCTTCCCGCCTAGCACATAAGCCTCTTCACTATTTGCTTCTACAAAGTAGAGACAGCAGCTTTCAAACAGACCAGGAGGAGCACAGAAGAATGCACCATTAAATCCACAATTTGACTCACCTGTTCTCTGCCCCTCTCTAGGAGTCCAATTTCCAGTTAAGAGCTGATACCCCAGCTTCCCTACCAGGGTGATGGGCACAGGAACATTTCATTAGTGTCCCAAAGCTGAGGAAAAATCACAGTCCCAAAGACTTGCAAGAAGTCACAGCAAGAAAATCCATCCCTGCAGGTCAGCAGGACCTCAAGCATGACAACTGGCCATAGGTTCATCATGCCCCGGAATGACCCATGGAGGGGAGCTCAAGGTATCAATGTCCAAGAGGCCGGAAAACTGAGGGAAGTCAGTTTTGCGCTGGGACAGAGATACTGTGGCCAAAAAGCCAAGGCCAGGCCCACCTGTAAATGACTCCCTGGATCATCAGCTGGTCTTATTTCTGACTCTCCACATCCGGCCACCGGCTCACTCAAAGGTGATTTGGTATCACTATTTTAACTCCTGGACATGACATAGAAAGGAGAAACCCCTTCAGGTGTCAGGCCTGGCAAGGAGCAGAACACTACTTCAGGCCCCGGGAATGCTGAGGGCGCTGGACAGGCAACTCCAAACTTCAGGATACTGAGTTAAGCCAAGGCCCCAGAGTTGCTCACTGCCTTGGACCTCCTCCAAGGACAAGGGCTTTGCAGGGGATCCGATAACTTCCCATTGCCTGCCTGTTGAGGGGCCTGCTGAAGTAAGAAGCCAAACAAAACAAAGCAAAGAAGCAAACAGACCTGAGGATCCACAACACAGGGCTAGCCGACTTGATGGGTAATGGGGGGAGGGGGAGATTCACAAGGGGAGCAGGACCTTGAAGTTTATCACCAACACTCTGAACTTCAGTGGATGCCTCTTAAAAGGAATTCAAGTCACCAAGCTCCCTCTTCCCACATACCGCAGCCGCTTTTCCCACCCACAATAGGATTCTGGACCTAAAATCAAAAAAATCCTAGGAGATTTCATTTAAGCCTTGGGCACCGCAGTTCAGAATGATCATTTACATTTCACCTGGCCTGAGGGGAAACCTCCTCCAAACTAAATCTGAAATGGTTTCACTTGGCTGAGAAGCAGATACCCAGAGGACTTCAAGGCCCTCAACACCGTCCTTGCTTACTTCTACGACAGACCCTTCTCCCTTCTTTCCTTCACGCCGTTACCCACTAAAACACTGTTCAAAACACATCCTCCCGTCCCCCCGCAGCTGTTTCTGTTTGATTTTTATTTACCATGGCACCATTGAGTGAGATGATAAAGGGGGAACTGCTTTGAGAAAGGAAGGTCCCTTTGACGGTGAGCCATCATTACTATTAAGACAACAAGCGTGTTGAGGGAAGAACCAAGTTTCTCCTCCCTTAGATTCTCTTCAGTATCCTGTGTGTTTTTGTTGTATGGTAACCTTCACACTTTTGTAAAGGACTTTCATACATAATATTTTATCTTCCCAGCAACCTAGGAGTGAGGTAGAACTTTCTCCAAGGTCATAGATAAAAACAAACAAACAAACAACAGTCAAAGACAAAGCCAGAACTTGAACCCAGGTCTTCTGAAGCCCTTTAGAGGCCACGGGAATCTCACCAGATGTATCAGCTCTGGAAAGCCGCAGGTCCCTTGTGGCACCTGAATTCTACCAGCCCTCGCTTCAGCTGGGAATATCACGAAGCTATATGCAGCTACTCGATCCCGTCAGTCATTTTACAAGTGGGGAAATGGAAGCACAAAATCTTAAAAAACAAAAACAAAACAATTTCCCAAAGCATCTGGTGGCAAGGGGTCAGGACAAGGGTTTCCACTGGGGACTTCAGAATCTCAGTCCCTGCCTCCCCCTCCCCCACTCTGTGCTGCATTGGGCTCCCAGCAGACTCTGCGGTTCTCTGGGAAGCTGCCCTGGCCTCTGGCCTCCCAGACAGGTGGCAGGCCAGAACAACCTGGCCTCCCTTCCCCCACCTGCAGCCTGGCCTCGGACTTTTAAATGAAAGGAGCTCATATTACCAAGTAACTGTTGTTTATGCTCAACTGTTCAGGCTCCCTTTTCCTGCAGACACAAGACACCGAACACCTGTCTATTACTTCTGCAAACCCACTAACTATAGTCCGGTTTGCAGCCAAAACTTCAGGAGGGAGCCTAAGTGAAAAATACTAGCTGTGAAGTTAGGTTTCTCCCGGGTGCACATCCAAATGAGTGTGAGGTACAAGGGGGTAGGCCCCCACAGACCCCTCGCATCCCACCTGCCCCAGAGATGCCAAGGACAGGCGACTCGCAAGAGCCGAGGCAGGACTGGACAGGAACTCGGTGGCAACATTGCTGCCAAAAGCCAGAATGTCCTCACCCTCAAGCTTGGGATGTGGAGTCTGTCTCCCGCACATGAGAACAAGTGCACCCAAGGGCTCGCCCATGCACAAGGGAAAGAAGCAGGCAGCAGGCCTACAGGAAGTGGACTGTGTTACTACCAGAGAAGCTGGAAATCTGATAGAAATGTGAAGGATGCTGCGGCACAGGGTTATTACCGATCTTCAAACACAAAGTGAAGGATGGCAGACCTTCCTCTCTAGCTCTCCTTCTGTTGCTGAGCAAGAGTAAGTGAGTGTAGAGCTCCATGTGGGGGATTCAGGTTGGATGACAATCATCTATTGAGACTAAATCCAGTTAGGGACTGGAATGTATGACCAAGGATGGATAGAATGGCTTTCTCTGAACATCTTTAAACGTAACTGGAGCTCAGTGAGAGAGAGTAGCAGGAAAGAGATGATGTCTTAAAGGCCCAGTCCCCACCCCATCACCAGGGGTCTGTGAGGCCCCAGATTCTCTCTCTTTTTAAAAAAGCATAAGTCTTTTCCTCCCTGACTGCTTGAAGCCTCGCCGCCATCATGAACGACACAGTAACTATCCGGACCAGGAAGTTCATGACTAACCGACTACTTCAGCGGGAACAGATGGTCATTGATGTTCTTCACCCTGGAAAGGCAACGGTACCTAAGACAGAAATTCGGGAAAAACTAGCCAAAATGTACAAGACCACACCAGATGTCATATTTGTGTTTGGATTCAGAACCCATTTTGGTGGTGGCAAGACAACCGGCTTTGGCATGACTTATGATTCCTTGGATTATGCAAAGAAAAATGAACCCAAACACAGACTTGCAAGACATGGCCTGTATGAGAAGAAAAAGACATCAAGAAAACAGCGAAAGGAACGCAAGAACAGAATGAAGAAAGTCAGGGGGACTGCAAAAGGGGACTGGCAAAAAGTGAGCTGGAGATTGGACAACAGAAGGAGTAAAGATGCTGCAGTGGCTTTATCTGTGGTGGTTGTGCAGATTTTTCATGAGAGGATCAATAAACTAAGAATGTTAAAAAATAAAAATAAAAAAATAAAAAAGCATAAAACAAAGTCCATTTGAACTGATGCATGTCTGGTGCCAGGCATCTTGAACTGGATACTAAACACCTCCCTGAAACCTACAAACAGCTTTAATATCTTACATGGTGAAATAGGAAATCAGGGAGTAATCACTAGGGTGATGATGGGACAGGAGCCAGGAATGGGGAGATGGGAGCAAGAGAAAGGACTGGAAAGAACAGGCTTCCACCCCTCCTAGTATCTCAGTTCTGTTCCTTTTACTAATCCCTACCTCATTTCCCCGTGAAGGTGGGAGCTACTGAAGAAGTCAGAGGAGACCGCGGACTGGATCTGTGTGGTCAGGGGAGGGCAGAGCATGCTGGCTGAACTCGATCTAAATAAAACCACAGTTGGCCAGCCACCATGTCCAGCATCTCCTTCTGAGGAAAGGAAGAAAATGTCATGAGACTTGTATGGACTCTTAGTTCCCTAGGGCAGAGCGCTGGCAAAGCCTCTCAGCCATGGGGAATGCACAGAGTGCTTCCGCTAGCCTTTGGCAGGGGCCAGGGTGAACAATGACGTCACCTCAGGAGAAGGACTGTCCCCAGATAAGCCTCCCTGGTTTAACTGCTCATCAAAAGGCTTAGGAGTCAAAGAAGAACATTTTGCACAACGACATTTGGCTGCCCGGGTTCTTGACACCAGGATACCAAAGCACAGATAGACATCATCTCTTGTCCTCTAAGCCTTACAAGGACAGTCTTTATGTAAACCTAGGCCAGAAGAAACTTCCTGACGTCACCCTATCTGTCTTCTTCCTGTCCTTGCAAGTGGCATGATCTGGGTGTTCCGCTGCTTTCCTTGGAAGCACCAAATACTACTGGCTAAATATAACCTAGTGATTAAATGCAGAGGCCCAAGGCATGCTATCTGAGCTTTAGACCCCTTTCCACCACTTACTAGCTATTTGTTTTGGGGGTAGGTTACTTAATTTCTCTGTCTCGGCTTCCTCACCTGTAAAATGAAGGTAATTGATAGCATCTCCCTCCTGGGTTGTTGTGAGCATCCAAGCAATATAGGACACTTAGTGCTTGGCACATCGTACGTAAGCGGTCTATAAATGTTAGTCTTTGTTATGCTGAATTAAGTCCCTTTATAAAACCCTTGTGAGGAAGCATGACTATTCGTGTTGACTTTCAACTCAGTTTAATTGTACAAGTACTTGTTAAGCTAGAGCACTGTGTGAGGTTCCTTACTAATTGCTAGGAATACAGCAAGACAAATAAGACATAAGACACGGCTTGTGCAGAGCAAGGCCAAATTAATTTAGTGCAAAATATAAGTACAAACAAGGTGTGAGTGGGAAGATTGACAGATTTTAACTAGAGGGAAAGAGGTTGGTCGAGGCAGGCTCTGTGGAGGAACTGGTACTTGAGACAAAGTATGAATTCCAACAGGAAAGAAGAATAGGGCATTATGGAATAAAGAGAGAGTTGTAGTAAAGGCACTGAGGAGTCAAAACTCATGAAGGGTTTTTGAAAATAGGGAGAGATAAGTCAGGGCATCCGGAAGGACACAGGAGATGAGGACAAACAAGATTGGTAAGTGTTCAACGTTTAGATTTTATTCTTTGAATAAAGAGATGCTATTCAAGTTTTTGCAGAGGAAGTGATATTATCAAACTGTATTTGAGGAACATCAGTTCTAGTGACTGGGAAATACATACTGGAGGAGCAAAATATGGGATACAGAGAAGCCAGTCGGGAGACTATGATTCAATATTCCATATTTTCGGAATATCGACTATATGCACGGCAAGTCGTTCAGGTAAAAGATGGGAAAACATCTGAAATAGGACAGGAGAAAAATGCGGAATAAGAAGAGGTAGGCAAGGAAGAGAAAGGCCCTGTGAAGATCTATTCAGAGACCTAGATTGGAAGAAGACCAAGAATGAGGGATGATTCGGAAGTCCGGAGAGGAAAGGAGCCAACGTTTACTGAATGCCTACTGCAAGCCAGGCACTGGGCTAAGTGTTCACACACAAAACCCCATCTACCCCTCCCAGCCACCCTGAGAAATAGACATCGCAACTCCGTTTTTAGGATGAGGAGAGATTTTAAAGGGTGACTCGCCCAAGTCCACACAGCCAGCAAGGGGAAGGCGGGCGCACATTTTAGCTAGGCTCGATCTACCTTAATAAAACTCATGCTTTTTCAATTACGCCACGTTTGAGAAAGATAAATGATGCCAAACACCATAATGCAGCCAGGCAGGAGGAAGATGTAACTGGGTCACCGGTGACCTCCAAGAGAACATCTGCAGTAGAGTGGCAAGAGAAGAAAGGCTACTGTCAGAAGTTCAAGAGTAAGCAGAGAAGGAATAAATGGAGGCTGCAAGGTTACAGCACTTCTTCCAGAAATTAGGCAGTGAAAAGAGTAAGTGACATCTATTTATTTATTTTTTAAAAGATTTTATTTATTCATTTGTTAGAGAGAGAGCAAGCAAGCACAAGCAGGGGAAGCGTCAGGCAGATGATGAAGCAGGCTCCCCACTGAGCAGGGAGCCTGACACGGGACTCAATCCCAGGACCCTGGGATCATGACCTGAGCCAAAGGCAGATACCCAACCAACTGAGCCACCCAGGCGTCCCTCTATTTATTTTTTAAAAGATTAATTTTTTTTTTTTGAGAGAGAGAGCAAGGGCAAGCAGAGAGAGGGGACGAGGGAGAGGGGAGAGAGAATCTCCAGCAGACTCTGCGTTGATCAGGGAGCCCGAGGCAGGGCTCGATCCCATGACCCTGAGATCCTGACCGGAGCCAAAATCAAGAGTCAGACACCTGCCTAACTGACTGAGTCACCTAGGTGCCCCGACATCTATTCATTTTTATTTATTTATTTTAAGATTTTATTTATTTATTTGAGAGAGAGAGAGAATGAGAGGTAGAGAGCACGAGAGGGAAGAGCCTAGACTCTAAACATACCATAATACTGGGTACTATGAAGGGTTTCTGAAAAGTTTCTGTGAAACTATTCATTTATTCCTAAAATAATTTTTGAATGCCTATCAAAGATGACCCTTGCCTCCGTTGCTTCAAACCTTGGAAGGGGAGGGGAGAATAGGAAACCAATCCAAGAACTACAATTTGGTAAAGAAATTCCACTTCAGTATAGGCATGTGTCCAATGCAGTGTGAGCCCAGAGGAGAGAGATCTTGATCCAGATAGATCTTCACGGAGGAGACAGTGTCCACCCAAGGCTGAAGGTCAGCAGATGACTTTTCCAAGTAGAGGAAGGAGGTATGCTTCCGGACAGAGGGGCCACACATGTAAAGGTGTAAAAGAGAGTATGGCATAAAAATATATTTTAAGATTTTATTTATTTATTTGAAGAAAGAGAGAGAAAGACAAGCAGACTCTGTACTGAACACGAGCCCAACACAGGGCTCGATCCCATGACCCCGAGACCAGGACCTGAGCCGAAATCAACAGTGGGACGCGTAAGCAACCGAGCTACCCAGGCGCCCCGAGAGCATGGTATATTCTTGAAATTACAAAAGAACAAATTGGATCATAATGTTCAGTTGGGTGAGGGACGAGAGCAAGAGAATGTATCTACTATAAATCTTCCTTCATTCACCCATTCAAATGTGTTTATCGAGCACACGATGTTCTAGGTGCTTGAAAGCAAGTCTGTGTCCTGAAGGAGTTTACGTCCTGGGGATCACAAAATTCCGGAATGATGGAAAGGAGATTTCCAAGAACTAATCCATCACTGTATCTCCACTGTTTATTCTGATCTAGATATTAGGAAACAGGCCCCGGGAGGTTATAGACTTTTACTGAAATTGCGTATCAAAAAGGCATAGCTTCACAGATAATAAATGGCTTTGCAAACAAAGACCCAGACTTGAAGACCTAGAAGCTTAACTCACTCAAAAAAGGGGGGGGGGGGCTCTAAGGCTCTAGGAAATGATGCCTTTCAAGCGCTAAAGCAACCACAGAAGGCTTTTATTTCTGACAGGAACTTCGGCCACTCCCCCTTCTCTAAATCAGAAAATAGCCCCCTTTTACAGACAAGCAAACCAAGATCCAGAGAGGAAGGGATGTTTGAGCCTTGTGCTCCAAACTGCTTCCAGGGTTGAAGATAACTGTAAGAACTAATTAACTTGAGATACAAATGCTGAAATTGTAAAAATTGCTCAGTTCTGATGGGAAGGAGGATGCTAGCCTTTACATACCGTGTCACCCAAAAAATTAGGATAGCTTTGTTATGATTCAGAAAAGGAGCTGAAAGAAGGCTGGGCTCAGTGGAGGATTTTCAGTGGCAGCCCCTGTAATCTGGCTTTGGACAACCATTCCCACTGTACCTC